CATTTTGCGTTGTTATTACATTTTGTGCGAGTTATTACATTTTGTGGCGTAACATGCGCTAACTTAACTTTTATCACTAAAAAAGCTACCCGAATCCGCCATCTTTTTTTAGCATTCTCGCACAGCTTAAATCCGGTAGAATGCCAGCCACAATGGCCGATTTGATCACGTGATCTCCTGTTATATTGTAAGGGTGTAAATTATTGATTTAATTATGATTTAAATAGTTTCCAGCACTGCACGAAACGAATAACATATCATGAAACTTACTTCATAAACAACTCTTTATTTATTTAAAAGGTATTTAGATATACCGTACTTGGCTCATATGCATATGTTACAGCATAAACTGCAGGGGTGCATCGAGGGGTGGTGAAGGGGATGGCTAGACACCCGCTTTTACTCCAATTTCTCAGCATTATCCTTAGTAAGCCACACCCCCTTTTCCTTTTATTCCTGGTAAATCCTTTGTGATAGTCACTTCTAAAATTTCTGGATCTGCCACTGAACTGTGAAATGTGAAACACTCTTTGATTCTGTTTTGCATTTGCCATTGAAAACTAACATTACCTATAAAACTCTCCACAGATGTTCGTCGTGATCGCAGCAGTGATGACCTTGATGGAATTCCTTTTGGTGTTGAGCAACAACGTTAGTTTCAAAACAGCTTGATAAATATTAATGGGCTTCAATACTAAAGATATAAATTTATCCCTCTAGTAGAAAGTTTGCTTTATAATGTTGATGATGTTAATGTTTATGATGGCACAACTAATGCATGCTGCTGCTGATGATGGTGATGATGGTGGTTGTGATGATAATGATGGTGAGGATAGTAATGATAGTGATGATGATAGTGGTGATGGTGATGGTGGGTATGATGACAGATTGTGGTGATGGTGATGAGGATGATGGTGCTGATGATGATGATGATGATTCCCAGTTGTATACTAAATGAAGCCTGTTTCCTTTGCAGCGATGTTTTTGAGCGATTTTTTCGAAAAAGACGCAGAGAATATTAGAGCCCTATCTCGCTACCTTGACAGAAGGTCGTTGGTGATAAAGAACTACGAAGACCTAGCAAACCTCTTGAATGCCCCCCCGTTAATCATAGCGAAGTGCAAAAGCAACACCATTGAACACAGTCCAACATTAGAACTCATGCAGTTGGAAGAGGTTTCGACTCTTTCAGTTAATGCGCTGGTGGAAAAATTTAAGGCGATCTCAAGAAATGATGTGGTCAATAAAATAAAAGATAACATACCTGGTAAATTATATCGTCATCTAAAAAACGTAACATGTACGCCACGTTTCGCTGCGATGAGTGAAAAATGATACAAAAAAATTGTAGCCGTGCTGTAACCATACCGGTATCTTAACACTTCTTTCGTGTTCTGCCAACCCCCGCGTGCTTTATAACTGCACACAGCACGCGCGCCCGTTTTCTATTTCTTCACTAGAGGACAATAGGAAGCCATTTCAATGTTACAGCATGGCGTACCGTGTATAGTGTGCTGTAAGTCAGTACCGTATGTTTCCTCTCATACGATAATCATTCTTATGGGAAGCCATTTCAATGCTACAGCTTACCGTACCGTGTACGTGGTTCAGTTTTGAGTCAGTAGCGCATGCTTCCCAATCATAAAATTCGCTCTTTGGAAAGCCACTTCAATGTTACAGCATGTCGTACCGTGTACGTGCTGTGAGTCAGTATCCTTTTTCAAGTAAACCGCTCTATATTTTTCAGTCACTTATACAGTTGTGTTTTAGTTGTGTTAAATATGATATTCCTAAAATTTTGAGACCATTTTTATATCATTAATTTTTGATATTGTTTAGAAAATGAAAGGGAAAGCCTCAGCGTAAAAGATGCACTAATTCACTACGAAGAACTGTTTAAACAAGTTGCAGCTRAGCTTGATACAGCTACAATGAAGAACTGGAAATGTCTTGGCCGTGAACTTGGATTTCCAACAGACAAAGTTGAACAGATTGGATTAGGGTGCAATCCAACAGAACGTCTTTTGGTGGACTACGTGTATAAAGCAATGAAACCAGCGGAATTGACAGTAGCATCTTTCCGAGATCGCATAAGAAATATAGAAAGAACCATAATATTGAATCTTCTCCAAGAATTTGGAATTACTGAACGTAAGGTTTTCATTTCATTTTCTTAGTTTTTCTTAGTTCTTCTTTCACTTCCTTCATTTTCTTTCCATTTTCTTTCCATTTTCTTTCGCATTTTTTCTTATTCGATTCTTTTTTTAACCTCTCAAAATTTATGCATTCGTTGTGTTTATTTTCTTTTCTCTTTTTTCGTTTCCTTTCTTTTCTTCCTTCTTTTTCCATTTAAAGTTTCCTATCAGTCGTCTTTAAAAGTTTTCAAAGTTTTCTTTTAATCTCTCTTATATCTTCCTATTTTCTTTATTAATTTTCGTTCGTTCTTTTCTCTTATCCAACTCAGTGCATGGCAATCTTTTCCACATATTATGATATTGGTTACTAATTAAAGAATTAGATTGAAATAATCATTCATTCAGTACCATCCAAATTTTTATTGATCCGAAATTCAAAATCGCTATACACAATAGAAAACATTTTCCAAGTGAAGTGTCTCTATATATACTGAACAGGGCACTAATTTGCATGTGGCATGCGCTAAATCCGCTGAACCGTATTACATGGCCACATACAATGTGCCATAAAAAGTACTAAATTCAGGCTAAAAAAAGCACAAGATTCTTCGAAAAATCATTAACTACTATAAAAAGACAGCTGAAGGTTTTTATTAAGTTTTATTTATTTATTGTCACAATTTCAAATTCTGAGCGTTTATTACTGGGCTTCCTATTGTAAATATTAAATTTTTCTTCACCAAAACACAAAGTTGAGCAACGTTCCCCAATTTTCAAAATAATTTCGATAGTACATTAATAATGTGCATTACCTAAGTTCTTCTAATCAGCTGGAGAATGGTGGGTGGCGACACTTGATTTTGCGAAAACCACTGAAATCTTCTACATTTATCTGATTTGCACATTTAAAATAATTAGGAATGTTTACACAATGAGTAATTAATCACTGAAATCATTCCGATTGCAATGAAATTTTCGATTGTTGGTAAGTTTATGATGACTAAATTCAAAGAATATAAAGAAATAGAAACTTTTGCTACAGTGACAAGTATGTAACAATAGAACATTCAAGTTCGTGTATAGTGTATGAATCATTGCATAGTATCTAAATGAGAGAAAAAAATCAAGGTTCGACTCGAAATCGACTCCTATACAGCTAGACGGCAAGCATAGCACATCATTTTAATGTGATTCAACAGGTGGGTGTCGAYAAGTGTTTTGGAAATATCTGGATGGGAATAACATCAAATTGTTGGAATTTCACAYAWTTACTCARATTTYGACATTCTATAGCTGTTGTTAMAAAGCGTCGATTTCATTTATATCTTAGCCAMATAAATAAATATGACATCAAAATTAGGCAAATACAAAGGTTTCGTATYCGTACCTTGCCCTACCACGATCTTGATTGGTGATTCGAAACGACAACAAACTGCAGCCTACTGTTATGAACAGAGGTTCTTTGAACGTCTTCAGATAACCTTGGATAACTCACACTTGCATTAAGGTAGTTCCGGACCCTTGCTACTGCGCATCCATTTCGCGCATCTCGTTTTTTACCTATTATTTGCGCTGTTTTGAAAATTGGTTTAAATAATGTCAGAAGTTGAATCCTTTTCTATAACTTAAGAAAGTATTTCGCTAATTCATGGAACTTTTGAAGCCTTATATCTCGATAACCAATACGGTGACCCCCTTCTCTTTTTTCATTATTTGAATACCCTAACAATGAACTTCAAATGACAGAATTTTTAAAAAAATTCATAGAAGAATTTTGAAGATCCGGTACTACCTTAAGCTATTGAACGTCTTCTAAGCTATTTCCTTCTAAATTCGTGTTGATATAAATGTAGTCCTTAACATATATCCTGCAGAAAAATATTTTACCTAGAAGCATATTAGTGCAACGAAAACGTTTGTTTATAGTAGACTCTACAGAGCAGCGATATTGCTCGCTCTTTACATAAACGCGTGAACATTCGCAGTCAAATTATGTACYGTGGTTTACCTCTTTCTTTTCAGAAGACGATTCTCGATCCATTAAAGATGTCATCCCTCCTGATAGTGAAATAATGCGGAGATTGTGTTTGGAATTAAACAAGGAAGTTAGTGGTTTGAACAACTGGAAGCATTTGGCCTTATCTTGGGGTATAGAACACGAAATCTATTCTCAGTTTGAACCAAAGCAGAAGACAAGCCCTACTGAGATATTACTCAAAGAATGGTTAATTAGCGAACGTCCTACATTTAGTGTTAATGCACTTTGCMGTCTTTTGGGTCAAATTGAGAGAAACGATGCAAAAGCGTTTTTAGAAAGAAAACTATAAGAATATAGCTAAGTGTATATGTAGAAGTATTTCAGTTGAGGCACAGGTAGCCCAAGCTTGGTTTCTGTGGTGTCATGTTATAAGGAAATGTATGGGGATTCTTCAAAGATTTCAATAAAATCATTGAAATGTAAAATAAAGCCTCGTAATTTTACCCGATCATTGAGAAATAGCACTTCTTTCGCTCTGTGTGGTTACTTTTTGAAGTTAGCCCGTTTTAAGGATTTTTTCCCCACCAGTAAGAAATAAGAGAAGGTTGGAGACCTGGGATCCCAAAAGCGAACCATCACGGGTCTTTGAAACCCCTATCGTCTTACGTCATCTGATTACGAACGTTACACGACACTAAAAAGCACAAAGTTCTTATACAATATAGATTACTTTGATGTTTAATATGAGGAAATAAAATGCTGATGTGGGATAGTTTCTAGCACTTGTGGACGCCGTGTGGACCCACTGWGCATGCGCATAGTTTCAGATTATTCATATAAAAGGA